TGGAGCAAGATGGTATCTCATTGTTGTTTTGATTTGCATCTCTCTAATAGCTAATGATCGTGAGCATTTCTTCATATGTTTGTTGGCCGCTTGAATACCCTCCTGGGTGAAGTGTGTATTCATGTCTTCTGCCCATTTTTTAAGTGGATTATTTGTCTTTTTGTTATTGAGGTGTTGGAGTTTTCTATAAATTCTAGAGATAAGTCCCTTGTCAGATATGTTATTACCAAATATTTTTTCCTAATCTGTAGTTTTTAAATCAACGTAAAATTTTCTTGTTGCTTGTTTATTTTTAGGTTTTAGCTTTTTAAAAATCAATAATAGTTTTTACTTACAAATTCAAATAACTCTTTGTAGTGTTTTATTATGCAAGTAAATAATATAGAGAAAAACTGTTGATTTGTATCTTCTGTGAAGAATTATATGAAAGGAATACATTAAGAATTTTTTCATCTTTCAGTACCTTAATCTCACTATACTTTTTCCAACCCCTTTGCAGGTCTACCTAGATGTGGATGTCCATGGGCGTTCCTTCAGTAGTCTCAGATGCATTGCATGTTTTCTCTGTGTCTTACTTTTCTAGTGCTGCTATAACAGAAATATCACAAGTGAATGGCTTTGACAAACATTTTTTCTCTCACAATTTAGGAGGCTAGAAGTCCAAATTCAGAGTGCTGGCTCTAAGGGAAGGCTTTCTCTAGATGTCTGTTGGTCCTAGGAGGATTCTAGCATAGCGACCCTGACTTCAAAGGACACACTCCACTTCTGCCTTTTCTTTCTTACTGGTGTAGGTCACCCTCTCTGCTCCCTCCTCTCTCCTTTTGTCTCTTATAAGGTAAAAGATTTTGCTGGCCACCCCTTGGGAAATTCTCTTTACATTGGATCAGGGCTGCGATGGGATTAAGGGTGATGTCTCACCCTAATCCTTTCACAACTGATTGGTTTATCCCATCAGATCATGTCATGGGGGATCTATCCGTAACAGCCACATAACTGTCAGACCACTGAGAATCATGGCCCAGCCAATTTGACATACATTTTGAGGGGACACAGTTCAGTCCATTATCTGCAAGACATTGGTTTATAAGGCACTCTGGAAACACAAAAGAAAAAATTATTTTATTAGGTTGAACCATGACACTGCAGGTACTTAGAGTTTGATCTATTAAAAAAGCCTCACTTGATTCTAGTAGTTGGAGAACAAAATAGATTCTAGGAAAAAATAAGTAGCCATGCAAAACACTATATTGCAGGTTGTGTCTCAGGCACTTCTAAGTAATATAGAAGTTTGAAGAAGTAGAGGCATTACCTTGGTTGAAGAAGTTGTAAAAAGTCTTCATTGAATAAAATTGCCAGTTTCAGGTCTCTAATCAGCCAGAGAGGGTTCTACTGAACATTCAGTTTTTACATGCTGTTGATAATTGAATGCACATGGAAATCTCAGCAGTCTTCATGTAGGATCGTTGACAAACACCATTGCTGTTGTTGCTGCTAAATTGTAGCTGAGAGTACTTATTTAGTTAATATGATGATTAATCCAGATTTCTTCTTTGCACATCCAGGGCCCATGCAGAGTCTCCACCATCAGTTAACAACCTAAAAACTGAAGGGAAGAATAAAAATGAAGAGGCAGTTTGTGACCATGAAAAAAAGGCTGCAGATACCTATCTTGAGCCTTATCCAGAAGAGAAAAAGAAGAAACGTTCTGGATTCAGAGACAGAAAAGTATGGAACATGATCTTATAAGTAAATCAGAACTATAGTAAATTCTATAGAATAATGCCGTCCAGTCTCTTTTGACATATATTTCAGATTGTTCATATTCACTTTAAAATTTTTCACATCTCTGATATTTTCTCATCAGATTCTAAGCCAAAGCTAGTCTTGGAATATGCAGTTAAGGGGGAGTAGGTAGTTAAAGGGCTCTAGGACAGATAACCAAGATTACCATATTATTTCTTAATTCTAGCTACCTAAGGGAACTTTTGGTTTTTGCATCTTCATGATGCTAATTGTTATCATGTGTGTTGAGTCTTTGTGGAATTTCTAATTTATTATACCTAGTTGTAAATGGGGGAGCCCTGATGGCATAGTGCCTAAGGCATTTGACTGCTAAGCAGAAAGCTGGTGGTTCAAACCCATCCCTTGGAAGGAAGATTGATCAATCTACTTTCCTAGAGATGCCACCTCAGAAACCCAAGGAAGGGTTGCTGTGAGTCGGGATTGACTCGAGGGCAGTGAGTATGGTTTTGGTTTTAGTTGTAAATGGAGTCTTTGGAAACAGATACATATTGCTACAAACCCAATCATTGTGGGGACAGCATAAATTTCAAATGACTGTCACATTTTATGTTGTTAATACAGTGTGTTTTTATGTAGTAGCTTCACCTCAAAAAACTTATCACTTCGTCTGTGATGATGCCTATGATATTTGGCATTTGCGTTCCGAAGATGTACTGAAGAATAATCAAAAGCATGAATTTCTTAGACATTTTGCATGCTAAATTTAAAATTCAGGAAATTGCTTTTGGTTGCTAAACTATAGCTTATCAAGATAATTGGAGTTATTTCTGTATTGTGTGTGTGTATACTTGTAAAAAGAATTCTTTTGAGAAAATTGAATCTTCTCTTTGGTTTTTATCTGTCTGGATGAAGTTATTAAATATACCTTCTCATTTTCAAATCCATGTCTGTGTGAGATGAATTTGAACAAAAGTTGTGGATTCAAGTCAATCGTTAAATGTCCTACTGTTTCAGTAAAGAAACATTCATTCATTTATTCTCTTGCCCTGAGTGAGTAAGAAGAGAGCTCAACTTAACTTTGCAAGCAGTTTTATTTACAGTCAGCTTTCCATTTTGCAAGCTGGAACTACTTTCATTATTTACTCTTGCCTTGTGCTCAGTAGTTGACCATATCTCATACTTCACAAAAAAATTAGTAATATTTTAAATATTCAGAAAAATAGTAATATAATGAACATTCACATATTCACCACTTGGGTCTGTCAGATTTTAACTTTTTGGTATGTTTGCTTCAGATTAAAAAAAAAAAAAAAGAAAAAAAAGTACATGTGAAAAATACAGCTAAAATTGCTTTTATGCTTCTCCCTAATCCCATTACTCCTCCTTCCTCTTCAGAGATAAACCATTGTCCTGAATTTGCTACTTATAACTGTGGCCTGGGAGCTCTGGTAGCATAGTGGCTAAGACACTTGCCTGCTAACCAGACAGCTGGCGGTTCAAACCCACCAGCCACTCCTCGGAAGGAAGGTTGGGCAATCCTACTTCCGTAGTGATACTGCCTTGGAAACCCAAGGAGGGGTCACTATGAGTCGGGGCCGACTCGACGGCACATAACAACAACAACAACAACTGTGGCCTAATTATTTTGTGTGTTTTACTTTATTTCAATTTTTTAAAAATTCTTAAGTGCATAACCAAAAAATATATGTGCAGATATATATGCATCTATTCAGGCATTTATATGTAGAGAACAAGCTAGTGTACAGTACAAATAGTCTGCAGGAACCAAGACCTTGTCTGTCCTGAGACATGAAGAACTAGATGGTGCCTGGCTACTCTTACCAACTGTTCTCATAAGAGCCACAATAGATGGATCCTGGTAGAATGGGAGAAAAGTGTGGAACAGAACCTCAGATTTTTAAAAAATCCAGACTTATTGGACTGGTTGAGACTAGACTATTCCCTGAGATTATTGCCCTGAGATATTCTTTAAACCTTGAATGAAAACTAACCCCCTTAGGTCACCTTTTAGCTAAATAACAGATTGGCTCACAAAATAAAGAATAGTACTTGTGGGTACTGTGCTTCTTTAAAAAATCACTTATACGAGCACCAAAACAAAGGTGAGAATGCAAGGGGTGGGGAAATGAGATTAACAGAGAACAACGAGAACGGAAGTAAACGTAAAGAATATAACCCATGTTACTGGACAACTGGTGTAGACGTTGTTGAATGAGATGCTGAATACTGTGTAAATCTTCACTGAAAACATAATAAATGTTATTAAGAGAACAAAAATCCTTAGGTGCAAAGAGTTAGCTCAAACATACCACTTCATTCACAGCATACTATTATCGTTTGTGTGTTTCTTTCTTTCTTTTTAATTTTTGTTTGTTTGTTTCTTTCTTTTATTTTACTTCCCCTTATGAAACCTCAAGTCTTCAGTTCTGGAAAATTCTTACACATTGCTTCAATATTGTTTTGTTACCAATCCCTTTAGTCTTTTCTTTTGAACCTATTGTTAAATGTGTATTGGATCCTCATAACCTGTGTTGTGTATTTCTTAACTCATCTTTCATATTTTCTCTCATTACTTCTTTATGGTACATTCAGAGTTCTTTCTTTGGGTACTATGTATCTTCTAGTGCATTAATTCCATTTTTACCGCATTCTAGAATGTAAACCATATATTGATTTTTTTATTTCAATGGCATTTATTTTTAGTGTCCAGGATTTCTCTTTTTTATTTTCTATCATTTTTGCTTAACAGTTTCTGTGTGGGTGTACTTGCATGCACAAGTGTGTTTTCCTTCTTTCAGATCTTTCAGGATTCTAAACATACTTCTTTAAAAATTATTTTTAGGTTGCCTCATTATTATTATTATTTTGTTAAAAATTAATCCATCTCCTGCTTAGTGTGCTTATCTAGCCTTTTGTGCTTATCTAGCATTTTTTTCTTATGTGTTTTAGAATTTTGATGTGCAGGCTTGTTTTGTGTGGGAGCTTGTTGAGGTTTTTGTTTTATGCTTACTTTTTTCTATTTAGTGGTTTTGTGGCTACTTTCACTCACCTGCAAAGCTTGTTTGTCAAGAACTAGTTTTTATATTGGCAGTTCTGGGCTTGCATCCCACTGTATTAAACATCTAGTCACTGAGCCCACAAGCAGTTTGGCCTAGATTCTGGAGCCAAAGCTATGGATTATTCTACTTGATGCCTTATGTATAGAATTTCATATGAACATTATCCCTCTGCAACAACTGGCTAAAACTTCTTCACCCTCTTTTTGTGATTAAAAGAAAATGCACCAGTTCCTGGTTTTATGCCGTGAACTTTGCTCAGGGCCCATGCCTCGTTCGGAGCATACTTTCAGCTCATTATTTCATGAAGCATGAACCCGTGATCTGGATTGCCTATTTTCAGACTGGGATTATAAAGACCCACAACTGTAGTTCTTCCTACCACAGAATGTTTCTGTTCAGTCCCTGATGCACAGAAAAGATTATCTTGCTTTGAACTGGGTTTGACTTTCTAAGTTTTCCCATTTTATGTTTTATTAATCACTGCTTTATTTTTAGAGCACAGAAGGTTTAAAACAGAAAATTCTAACTTGATTAGAAGTCTCACTGTCATTTCTGTACTTTTCAGATAAGAAATTGCTCTTTGAATTGTGAGACTCATTTCCAGAAAGTGCTGTTGCCTCTTAGACTTGTGCTCAGTAAAGATCTTCACATTCATTATTTTTATACTTCTGGCTATGCCTATACTGCTGTTGTTCCTGAGCTGTCAGTCTGTTGGAGGTTGGGGTTAGTGGCACCTTCATTTTAAAAAGGGAAATTACTTAAATAAATAAATTAAATGATTAATTATTTTTAATTACTTTATTTAAAAAGACGAAATGATTTGGTTCACTGCAGTTGTAAATAATTTAAATTGATTGATAGGAAAACATGAATGCTAAAAGATAACAAACATGCCAAACAAAATGCCAAAAAATTGATCAGGTGACTGGAAACCCATTTCAGCTTACTTAATACTCTGATGGCATAGTGCCTAAGGCATTTGACTGCTAACCAGAAGGCTGGCGGTTCAAACCCACCAATCACTCCTCAGAAGGAAGACTGGGCAATCTCCTTCTGCATAGATACTGCCTCAGAAACCCAAGGAAGGGTCACTGTGAGTGAGAACTGACTCAATGGCAGTGAGTAATACATAAATAACAAAATAAAAAGGATAGGAGAGGTGAAAGAAACTAACATTTACTGAACATTTTCTGTATGACAGGTACACACACACACACACACAGAATTTCATATATATTTGACAGATGAAGAAACTGAAACTTGGAGCAGTTAAGTAACTTGTTTTAAATCATATAGCTGGTTACTAGTGGTGGTGGTGGTGGTGGTGTGCCGTGGAGTCGGACCCGACTCATAGCGACCCCTCCTTGGGTTTCCAAGGCAGTATCACTACGGAAGTAGATTGCCCCATCTTCCTTCTGAGGAGTGGCTGGTGGGTTTGAACCACCAGCTTTCTGGTTAGCAGTCAAGTGCCTTTAGGCACTACGCTATGCTACCAGAGCTCCTGGTTACTAATAGAGGCAGGATTCAAACATATGTCTGTATAACTCCAAAGCCCTTGCTTATTCCATTGCATTCTTTTAACATAATGTGTTTTGGTTATAAGGCTTTGTTCATGGTGTACCGTAGATCAGTTATTGTTAGGTACCATTGAGTTGGCTCCGACTTACAGCCACGTAGATCAGTTAATGTCATGCTATTTTCAGTGATCTCAGCCCTGATTTCTTAGTTGTCATGGGGAATGCTAGGTATCCACTAAATGGAAGTGTTTGAGCCGCTTCCAGGCCTGGCTCATAAAGTCTCCCACAGTGCTCTTTGTTCCTTTCTTGTAGCTAGAATGGTGATGACTAGAATTGACCTTGAAAGCCACATGTTGGCAGAGCTGCTTTCAGCTTGAGTTCCTGAAGGACTTTATGGCTTCCTGCAAACCTGAAACACCCACTCTGGGCTATACTTGGATAAGAAATATGCTTTCACTTTAGTTGAGCTATAGCATTTTGGGGTCTGTTTGTAATAGCAATTTAGCCTACAATGATTAATATACCTATTTTAAAAGTGAGGCCAAGAATCAAGATGATTAGACCACAGAGATTTTTCAGTATGCACAAAAATATAAGAGAAAAAACATGTATTTTTTAAAATTATGATTTGTGTGAAAGTTTACAAAATAAATTCATTTTCCATTCAGTAGTTCATACACATTTTGTTTCAGGACATTGATTGCAATCCCAACAATGTAACAGCTCTCTTCCCACTTCTTCCGTGTGAATATCTTTTCCCTGTGTCCTTTCCTATGCATTCCTGCCCTCTGAGCTGTCTCCCAGTGCATATGCTCCCCTTTTGATCCCCCAAGGTTGATTGTTCTAATGAGTGTACCTACCTGGTGTAATTGTTCATCTTGTCGGCCTGCCTATTGTTTGGCTGGAAGCCACAGAAGTGAGTGTAATTCCAGTCATGGAGGGTGAATAGGGGCCAGAGTCTCAGTGTTTTTCCAGTCTCTGTCATAGCAGTTATCCTGACCTTTTTTATGATTTTGAATTGTTCCACATTTTTCTCCTACTCTGTTCATGATCTCCAGTTTTGATCCCTTTCTGAGTGGTTGGCGTTGGTAGCCAGCCGCTACCTAGTTCTTCTGGTTTCAGGATCATGTAGGCTGTTTCCCATGGTCCACTAGTCCCTTAATTGCATAAACATGCTTTTACTGTCAGGAAGATGTTATAAATTTAAAAACCTGTTCCTTAGTTACATTGGAACTGATTTTCAACTACATTTAAGAATGTGAGTATTGGAACTCTTGGTATATGTTACTAATTTCACTCAAACCAAAACCAGACTCACTGCCATCAAGTCACTTCCTACGCATAGTGACCCCCATTAGGTTTCCAAGGCTGTAAGTCTTTATGGAAGCAGACTGCCTCATCTTTTTTCTGTGGAGCAGCTGATGGGTTTGAGCCACTGACCTTCTGATTAGCAGCCAAATGCCTCATCCACTGAGCCAGCAGAGCTCCTTGCATAATTGTGGTTAAATGTATGCCATTTAACTTGATTTTTGCTGCTATTCAAAGATTTGCTTGTGTTCTCTCAACTCTGTTGTTTTCTAAATATGCTGTATGTAAAAGATCTCTGACAGTTTGCTGAATTTGATAGTAAATTTGATAAGTTTTATTGCTTATTGTGTTTCCATGAAGCAGGATTCTATTTTTTTATGCCATTGTTTGATATACTTTGTCTTTGAAGGACTGTTAGCTGTTCAAATCTGTGAAATCCCAACTCTGTTTTGTTTTAGGATTCAGGAAGTTGCACAGAAGTAAGAAGTAAAATTAATCTCTTTTTTAAAACATATTATTTAAGAACTGTAAACTTAAAACCCATTGTCATCAAGTCAATTCCATTTCATAACATCCTATAGACTACAATATATATGGCTGTGTATTCTGTTACTGAGACCTTTTGAATTCTCTTATGACATTCTTCAATTTTGCTAGCATTCAATGATGAGAGAATTATAAGACTCTTTTAAAAAATTCTAAACGATACAAATGTTGCTTCAACTGGAGTTGTTGTTGTTAAGTGCCGTCAAGTCGTTTCCGACTCATAGCGACCCCATGCACAGCAGAACGAAACACTGCCCGATCCCACACCAGCCCCACAATCCCTGCTATACTTGAGCTCATCATTGCAGCCACCGTATCAATCCATCCCGTTGAAGGCCTCCCCCTCTTTCGTCGACCCTCCA